TCTACAAAATGTAATATTGAATTAAGCTGCAGCTATTTCCTAAACGAGGCTACGAGCATTTTTTTTTCAAGAGCTTGTTTCAACGTAAAAAGGCTGTCGAAAGATAAAAAGTTTTAAATAGTGTATTTCGTAGGATAGCTTCTAATCTATGAGTTAATATATAAATAAAGATTCCAACTGTTAGTTTCGCATCGCAATAATGAAAATACAAACCTGGGCAGAAAAATTTTTCGTCAACACGCATTTTTTGAGTCTTTCAAAGATTACTTCACTACTCTTGAGAACAAAAGTTGAGATAAAGTTTCTAAGACCATATTCGAAAAGTGCACAATATGCTGGTACTAATCCATAGCTTGTGACATTTCGGAAACACTTTTCATGGAGCCAAAAATAAGCAAATGTTTTGTCTAAAAACGTTGGTCCTGCCCATCAAATGCAGTAACTGTTCGTTAAAGTCATTTATAATTAAAATAAACATTTACGAGATTAATTTACACTTGATTTATATGTTGAATTTTCCATAAAATATCCTTTATATGTTGTAAAATAAATATTGAAACTCTTTAAAAAGTATTCCGCATACTCGAATATTTGGTTCATTAAGTAAGAATTATAATATTTCATCGGCTTACTCTAGATTGTCTGATGTGTCATGCTTTATTCAATTTGTGTAGTTTTCACATTGTAAGAATTAGTAACTTTCTCGATTATTCTCCTGAAATTCAGCGAAAAAAAACCGACATAAAGTTTGATAATAAAAAACAAGTGTAGGCTTGTATAACCAAAGTAAAGACATGTTAACACAGGAAGAAAAGAACACGTTCTTTCGTTTTCACATTGTTTTGGCCTACAAAAAATAAGTCAACACCCCATTTTTTCTCTTAAGTAATTGCACAATGAAATGAAAGAGAAAAACTAACACATTGACAATTTAATGATTTACATCAATGTCTGCCTTGTCCTTACATATCTTACCCACAGAACTTTTACATCGAATTATTGATTATAGTGATACAGAAACCGTATTTTTTTCTTTTCGAAATGTTTGTAAACGTTTTCAAACAATTCTTAATGATTACAATCAATATCAACTCGATTTTCGTTTAATGACAAAATCAAAATTTTGTCTTATACGTCGTTTCATTCAACCTGACAAAGTTATTTCTCTTGTTATATCTAATGGACATAAAACAACTGGTCAAATTAAATTATTTCTTTCATTGTATGATATATCTTTATTTACTAGACTTCGTTCGTTAACTCTTATTCAAGTTAGTGACCTAGACGCCGTTGAATATTTAAAACATGTTAGTAGATGTTCATTGATCTCGCTATCTGTTGATTATGGAGATATGCAGAGGTCAATCGCTGAAACGAATGAATTTCTCTCATCAAGTCTAAAAAAACTTAATATTCTTCGAAAGCTCGATTTATCTATAAATCATTTAATGGTTGATAGCATACAATGTCCAATACAACATATAACACTTACTCGGTGTACTCTTAAGAAACCAATTTCTGACATTCTTCTTCATTTTTTTCATTTAAAAACATTAATATTAAATGGTGTTTCTATGCCCAATATTGACGAAAATTTGGTTACTACTACGCAAATAGAATCAAAACTAAAATCATTGACCATTATAGGCCATTCTTTGTCTATGAATATGATTATATCAATTTTGTCATTCACACCATTATTAAGTCATCTTAAACTAATAGCATGGCCAACGATGCCTGAACGTTCTTGGAATGGTCATTGGTGGGCAGAATTCATTGAAAAGAATCTAAGTCAACTTAAACTATTTGAGTTTTTCTTTGACAAGCTGATAGATTGTAACGAAAATGCTCGTGATATTGAATCTATCATGATTCCATTTCGAATATCATTCTGGCTAGAAAAGCAATGGTATGTTGCATGTAATTATTATGAAAATATACGTAAATTAGAACTGTATTCAATTCCAATATGTAAATCAAATATTTCATATAACTGTTCGACAAACAAAATTTCTTCTTCAAATTTAATAAATGATCCACCATATATAATGGATAATGTACGTTCATTAAGTCTAGGTTTAATTCCATCAACTGCTATTACTTGTGATAACGTATGATTTTCTTTTTGTTTCTACTCCTATTCTAGATCCATGAGTCTTATTCAGATCGAGTCTACATTTCATTATGTATTTCTCGAATGTTTTCAATTTTTTGAAAAATTCTTTGAGACACGAAGTTTTTTATTAAAACATAATTTACCAAGAAGGTTGAAATATACAGTTACTAATTTGTACCTTTACATTTCTCCTCTCAGAACGTGACAGACCGTAGATCAGTAAAGTCACATTGTAATATATGAACTATTTCCTTAGTGTGTATTCCTGGCAAGTTTAATGAAAGCATCGTACAATGTGTCCTAAAAAAGATAGAGTAAAACAATTTCTTTGTGATTGGTAAAAACAACTACATTGTGTTTCATATTTTAATGCTGCAGAGATTTTGCTAATGGCTTTCCTTATAAAGAACTCGTCATAATTCAAATCAGTGTGTTCTGAGAAATTCCTTTTATTTCGAATAGAGTACGTGTTTTTACGCTAATGTTCTTTGCATAAATATAAAAAAGTCTTTTTATTTTTCTTTTGTTTAGAATTTACTAACAAATCGTCCTTTATTTTCAAGCGTAACTAAACTGACACTCGTGATTACTAATGAGTTTTCGAATGGTTTTATTGATTACCTATTGCGACTTATCAATTTTCCGCATCTTTACACACTTTCGTTGACTTTAGACTTAAATCAACAATCGTTTCAGAGTATTATAACAAGTATCAATAAATTATTAAATGAAGCATATAATGTTCAATCAATTAAATTACGTTCTTCAAAACCTGCTTATTTAATCGAATACTTACAAACAATACGTCCAATATTATCTAATCAAGTAAAACATCTTACAGTCTACATAGAAAATTTAGCGACAATGCAATTAATTCTTAATCAATTTGAAAACTTCTCAAGTATGACATTTCATTCAAACACAAGTTGGCTATCAGAATTCGATAATATAATTGAAGAGCTAACAAGTAAAGGAAGAGATTTTATATATTATAAGAATGCCATGTGTGCAAGCTTTTGGTTTGGTTAATAAAAGATAAATCATCGAAAACTTGTTAACATGTCGAGGAACTTTTTCATAAAAACATAAACGTAGGACATTACCAGTAAGGCAAGATAAAATTTGCATCTTTTGTTTGTTATTTGTCAAAGAAGAAAACTTGCGAAACATTTTCTAAAAATTGAACAAGAAGCAACAATATCTCAGACTATCTTTACAAGTGTTACTAGTCGAACTTCTCTTAAAAAAAAATTATAGAGAATATTGATAAACAAATGGTTTTTGTTCATTCTTTCGTTGTGTATGGAAACATTTAAATACTTTTGTTAACATTTAATAAATATTGAAATAAGATTTTCAGAAAGTTTGTTTTATGATTTATTCTCGAATGAACGTTATGTCACCTATGCTAACTGATGATGACACAAAAGTCGGTCGGTTTGGATTATTTTTTATGTTTCTTGATATAGCTACATAAATTTTATTGTTTTCGATCATTGGTTCTCTTGAAAACGAATAATTAAGAGTTAGATATATTTTTGACACATATTATCACTTGTTTATTTGTTGCATTATTGATGGAATCTCGAACATTTAACAAACTAAAGAATACAACATTAGAATAACTCATGTCAACTATTTCAAAAATTAAGAGTCTTTCTAAGTGTGTGTTTTGAAAATTAGTGATTGAACTTTACAATATCCACACTAATTATGTCAATCCTTGACGAAATGTTTACTAATTTCCATATAAAAAATAAAGAATAAGCCATTACAATTCCTTCTAAATGCTCATGATTCTTGAAAATTGCTAATATTTAAACAAAATTATATGCTGATGAATATGTTTAAAACATAATGTCCATTGACCTGATTATCTGCTTATTAACAAATAACAGAATGAACACGTTCACATTATGATTCTTTTTTATGACGATTCAAAGTGGAAACAGATTTATTGAAATAGCATTATCTCATCTTCAAAATTATGACTTTTCCTCTTTCGTCATTTTGAAATGCAAACAAACTACCCATGATGTAAATTCTATAATTAGTTTATATAGAATATCATTCCGACTAGAAGTAAAGTATGGATTTGTTATTTACGATAATGTTGAGGTTTAAAATTTATTAGAATTTTATTTAATATCAATTCGTCAATCGTTTTTTAATACCATTCTCCATCGAATAACATTTCTTATTTGAGTTTGACTATAACAAATATTGATAGAGCATCGATGACAAATAATATTTCATATTTATATGTAGATTCAACATCAACACTGTAAGTGATAATTTAAAAAAATGTATTAAATATAATAGAAGAATTTGTTTATTACCAATAGAATTTTCTCTAAATTTGTAGATTTACTACAAGAAGAACAACAAATAAAAATAAAAATAAAAATATAAACAAATTCAATTCGAATATCAAATTTAGATATAATATTATATCAATATCGAACATCATTTTGTGTACAACACAAACAGTGACATGTTGATCACGATAGGTGTTTGTTTTATACCTATTCAGTCTTGATCAATAAGAACTGTGTTTCTTATGATACACTATTGAATTTTAATCAATTTTATTAGATCACTAAAGATAAAAAAAAACAGTTGATAGAAGCTTGTCAAGTTCCATTGTCAAAAGGCTTATAAATGAACAAAAAAACACTAAAAAACATGCCATTTTGGATTTAAATGCAAAACCACTCATTCACTCAACTTAAATGGTTAGTGTCAAGAAAGAATTATATAGTTGACGAAATAATATAGCCCCATGATGTAATCTACATTTACAAAATGTAACTTATTTTGAATTCATTCATTTATTAGCTCTAAGATTTTTCTCTTTCCATTTATTGATCATATTAGTAGAATTTCAGTTTGAAATTTCATAATAATATCTGTCTGCTGCTTCATTGTATTGAAACGAAGTTTTAAAATCACATGTTTTACAAGTAAAAATACTAACACTATAAGCATCACCATGATGTCGCACGCCACAACTGAAATAAAATTTAATTTGAATTTAATAAATTTCGCAGGATAAAAAAAAGCTTTATACCAATCTAATATATTTTCGATTGATTTAGCTTCACGTCGTGGACATGTCTCCATTCCCAAGGCCCGAAATACGTGCTTTTCAAATCCTTGTTCATCAACACTATATTGTTCTTTAGAATCACACATCTTTATTTGAATAAATATCTACAAAAAATAAACAACATAAATATACGTATAAATAATTTTTTTTAAATTTTATTCCTCAGAACATTTATTATTGAACAATTAAATGTATGTCAAAAAAAACTTGTTGTTGTTCTGTTTTTCGTGAATGTCTCAAATTTGAATAGTGACAGAAGAAGAATAACATGAACAATGATGTAGTAACATGTTGTTTGAGTTTAGTTGTATAAAGCGATGTAATATATGTTTCTCTATAACATAACAACAAATAATAATTCATAATATGAGACAATGTAACGCTTTCGATGACCTTCATCATTTTACTAAAAACTGGAATCAACGTATTTTATGATTCAATGTTTTTACTTGCAATTAGTGAAACAAGTACCTTGAAATCTTCTTACATAAAAAAATACATTGATAACTAGAATATAGGAATTTGATATATTTATTCATAAAGAAACTCTTAAAATCTAGATACATTTCTTATAGTTAATAGTTCTAATATAAATTAATGTATGAAACATCTTTTTTTCAATAGTAATTTAACGCATCAATTATGTTTCAGAACAGAATATCATTTTCACGTGACATTTAATAAATGAAAAACATGAAAATTACTTAATACGTATCGTTCGTTGATGTCTGCATGTATGTCTTACAGAAGGAATTAAAATGTAGGGCGGTTTCAAATTCTCCAATATGAAATCAAACACAAACTGCTATCTTCGCAAAAAATTGCGTCATCTTTTCAAATGTTTGCTGTTTTAGAACATTACTGCAAACTACTAGTGGAAAAAATCTTTCCTACGTTATGTACGATGGTTAAGAAACGACTAACATTTACAAGCTTTTTTATCGGAAGATGACCCGAATTACATCCATTGATTACGATGTATGAAGAGTTGAAGTAAACATGATAGAGATCGAAGTTTTTATTTTTGGAGAAGCGTTAGTTTCATTGCAACGTTTTCGTTTGTTTGAATGCATGCTTTGTTTTAGCTGTCTCAGTCGTATGTTTATGGTTGTATAATCATGCTTTTTAGAGATAGAACTATTAATGAGGACGTCAGTGATAAAACAAATGTTATTTGATATCATCTATAGTTAATCCTTTGCTTCTTTCTGTTATTTTCAAGTTATTGAATCGAAATTACGTAAATCCATTAAGAATATTTCTTTTTTTTTGTTCCAAACATCCATAACAGCTGAATCAATATTTTGTTCCCTTTCAAATATATATGTAAAAGTTTAGAGTAATAAAAAAGAAAAAGAACAATCCCAATGTTTTTAAGAGAAGCTTCAATCACCATCATTGGAAATACATATCAATAATATAAAATTGTCGAAAGAATGAAACAAACAATAACATAAAAAGTAGATCATAAGAATTCTGCCATTAATGATATATTAAATGTTGAATACTTCAAAAAAACAAAGTTAACTATGAAAACTTCATTTATCAAAAATACAGATACGAGAATTAATTGAATTTATCTATGTGGAGAAATACAATAATTATTTTAGATGAGGAATATTATTCCTTGATGTCATTTTTCGTAAACTATAAGAACAAATACGCAGACATGTATAAAATACTAAAAAAAAATTTTTCTTGTGGTCAACAAATTTTCAAAAACATCGTAACGAAGTATCGAAAAGGCAATGGATTCGATAACACGGAAAATACATATTTATAAGTTTGCGATAGTAATTAAGTCCTTGAAGAATCTTCATAAAGAGAACACCTGGGATTCTATGTGACAATTTAAAACTAACTTTATTGTTTTTTTCATTTCGTAGAATCAAAAAGGCCAATCCAAACCACCTAGAAGAATATTGTTTTTTGTTCGTAACACGCCTTCATATGCACTCTATTATCATGCAAAACGATTACGAAAATAGTGTGATCTACTTCTATCACCTTGCAATTCATATTTTCTTTGTTGATTAATACCGCACCTGTTTCATCTCTATATATTTTTTTGTTTTCAATTCGAATCACTCCAATCTACCATACCAATGCTGTTGTTGGGTACTTTATTTCTCGTCCTCATCTTTCCTCTTAATAGTATTGTCTATGCATGCAATAAAGATCCGCATGAAGGCGTGCTCGTTGTTGCTGCTGGAAGTTTTCTTTCAGCAAGTAGTGATCAAGGTGTGAATTGGTCACCAGCGGAAAAAAAAGGTCAAATGACATTCAATCAAGCAACTTGTCGATATGAAAAAGTGGTTCGAGGATTACCAGCAAATACAAACTTCGATTGGAAAGTAGCTTTTAATGGAAACTGGGGTGGAGATATAGGATGTAATAATGGTAATAATTGCGTGTTTAATAGTGGTTCTTCTGGTGTTGTTCTTCTCATATATGATCCATTCAATAGACAATTAACGACAACTCCTTTTGATGACCAAACTACAGTTCCAAATGGTTCAACTTCTACATCAACACTAACACCAACATGTTCGAATCCATATCAAAATCGAATAGTTCGAGCATCGGGTGATTATCAAACAGAATTAGGTAGTTCAGCTCCTTGGCTTGCAACAGAAGCAAATAGTTTGATGACATTTGATGCAACATCTTGTCTTTATATACTTACACTCACTGGTTTAACAACAAACAAAGCTTATGAATGGAAAGTCACATTTGATAATTCATGGTCAAATAGTCTTGGTTGTGGAAATGGTGGTAATTGTAAATTTTCTACAAATGCAGCTGGTGCAATTGAACTTGTATTTAATCCTATTTCAAAACAATTATCAAATCGTCCTTTGACAACTGTTTGTGGTAATGAACAATGTGAATTAGGTGAAACATGTCGAACATGTTTAGCTGATTGTGGTCAATGTCCACCAGCTGTATGTGGTGACGGTAAATGTGAAGATGCTGAAACATGTGAATCATGTTCAAATGATTGTGGAAAATGTCCAGTATGTGGTGATGGAACATGTCAATCTAATGAAAATTATCAAACATGTCCACAGGATTGTCCCAATGAATTGGCTGGTTGTGGAATATTTCGAGAAGAAAGTTGTGAAGGCGGTTCTCAATTTCATGCAAATGCAGGTGCTGATGCTAAACGTTGGCAAACACCAAAACCTGGTACAAAAGGTTATCAACCATCATATCAAGATTATCATACACTTGTTGGTTATGCTGATATCATTTATACATCTACAGATCGTCGTACAGCAGATGTTTGCCTTGAAACAAAACATCGTTATGGTGATAGTGTAAAATTAACTTATTTCTTTGATGGTGTTGCTCAAGAAAATAAATGTAAACGTTATACAAGTTCATATACGGGTATCTTACAAGCAGTAGTTACAGGAAGTGATGGTTCAGCATTAGAACTACCAGAAATTGATTTCATTTGGAATGCAAGACCAATTGCTAGTCGATCAGGTGATTATCGTAATGGACAAAAAGGTGCTGTAGCAGAAATGTTTGGATGGCCTCATAATGATGTCAAACAAGAATGTGAATTTCTTAGTAAAGCTGGTTATTTAGGTGTAAAACTTTTTCCAGTTCATGAACAATTATTGTCAACACAACCATTTGAAGATGCAATGAATCCATGGTATTTTATGTAAGTCAATTATTAATTATTTGATTTATTGCATCAAAAAAGAATTTTTATGTTCATTATATTAGGTATCAACCAGTGTCGTATAAATTGGACGGTAGAATGGGTACACGTGAAGAATTACGTGACTTAATTAATACATGCCGTGGATATGGTGTACGAGTTTATATTGATGCAGTACTTAATCATTTTACTGGTGCCGGTAATGATATGAATGAACATCGAAATCCTAATGGTTGTGTGAAATGGGGTAACAAAACAAGTAGTGCACCATCCGAACGACAATCGCCATTTTATACACATGCTTATACTTATCAATATAATCCAAATACAGGTAAAGCTCCATCGAATGAATTTCCTGGTGCTGCTATTGGTCCTGAAGATTTTCATTGTGATCGTGTACTTGGTTCTTGGTCTGATTTATTTATCTTGAATAATGGTTGGCTTGTGGGCCTTACTGATCTTGATACATCAAGAGACAATGTACGTGAACGTCAAGCAGCTTATCTTGTTGATATGTTAAGTTTGGGTGCTAGTGGTTTTCGTATTGATGCAGCTAAACATATGGCACCTGAAGATATTTCTGCAATAATGAAAAAAGTTCAACGAAAAATGGGTGGAAAATTACCCGATGATTTCTTTGTTTGGCTTGAAGTTCTCACAGGTAAAAAACAATATATATATGCCAGTTCTACGTTTTTATTCTTAATTTTGATTATATTTCGATTGTAAAGGTGGAGAAGCTGGTGTTTTATGGCAAGGATCATCATGGTATGGAACTATGTTTGAAAATATTCTTAAGAATGATCTTGGCTCAGATTCAGACGTCAATAAAATTAAAGTACGGCTTTTTTAAATATTTTTCATTGGATTAAATTTTTATTACAATTAGATGTGGGATGGTCTCTATCCAAAGGAACCGCAAAATAATCCATCAGTATCACGTCATCGTGTAGTCATTCAAAATGATGATCATGACCAACAGAATCCAGGTTCAAGTAGTCGTGATATGGCTAATGCTGGTTGTGTTCTTGTTAAAAATTGTCCTGCATCCGAACATCGTAATTTTGAAATTCGTCTTTTTACAAGTCCAAATGGTGCGCAGAACAATAATGATGATTGGCCTATTCGATTTATTCTTTCATCCTATTATCATACTCATGGTGATCTGGGTATTCCAGATGGAAAATCATCATGTGATCTATGTACTGTTACATGCACATCGTGTCGTAAATCAGTACCTTATATAAAAGCACATGATTCAATGGCATGTGCCTATGCAGGTAATGGATATACCCGTACACATCGTGATATAGCTGTTATCAATGCAATGCGCGCATGGATGCATTTAGCACCAATATCAGGAGCATCGTTGGGTATCGGACATTGTGGATAAATATGGAAAGAATATAA